TTTTTTTAATTTTTAAAAAAATTTATAGTCATGTATGTTGGCTTGAGGATAGGAATATTTCTTTGAGGAAAGGAGATATTTGAACAAATCTAGGGTGCAGATTTATATTTTGGTAAGATTCAATAGTGACACTGTCAAGAATTTTCCGTCTGAGTTACTTTCTCTTTTAATAAGTGTTTTATTCTTTAGAATAAAATTATGGTTGAACTTATTTTTAGGTATGACTAATGTATTTGATAAATTGTGTATAAGATCCTTTTTTGTGTTTATTTTATATATACACACACACACTATATATATATATATATATATATATATATATATATATATATATATATATATATATTATCAAAATAAAAAATTTGTGTGTGATCAGATATTGTTTATTTTTTTCCACAGTTTTCATTTGATTTCGATGAAATTTTTTTGTTTGATAGATAATTCTTCAGTGCCGGTTTTGAGTCTAAATTGGCTTCTTTAAAAAAAAGGAAAAAAAAATTACATGATTTTTTTTTGCAAAAATCAAAGGCAAAATTTAATGTCTGTATCAGTTTAGAGAGTTGAAATCTAATGCAAAAGATTATTAGAATTATAAAAAAAATTATATTATAAATAAAAATTATCGTATATTATTATGACGGTCCATGGAAGAGGTTCCTCCTTTGCAAGATTCAGAACGCAAAAATGGCCCTTTTCAGGGCCACACCCCATTCAAATTGTTAACCCCCCCCATTTTGGAATGTGCCTCAATTGCACCCAATTGTTGTTACTAATATTGATTTTCAGGTGGGCTGACTTTTAAATTTAAACTACTCCAATTGAACAGCAAAAATTCCCAATAATGAATCACCCAGTTGAAGACAGGTTATACTGCTAGTGTGTGTGTGTATATATATATATATATATATATATATATATATTGTACACACATATATAAGCATATATACTGATAATTGTAAATGTTTATACAATTATACAAATGTATGGTAAGAAAGTCCCTGTACAACAACCGAATTAATATTTCAATGACTCAAGATCACAATATTGACTTTTATGAAATGTGTTGGAGAACTTTCCATCAGTCCCTTGTACATAAATAGTGGCATTTAGATGCTTTTCTTACCTAGACAATAAATTTACAAGGTATATATGCTTTACATCATAGCTATAATCTATTGCTGATGTTCACTTATTGTTTCCAGAGCATTCCAAGAGAGACGGAGGAAATTTGCTGCTATTCGCATCCAAGCTTATTTCCGTGGTTACCAATGCCGCAAGATATTCCAACAGAAAAAACTGGCTGCAATTGTTGTACAGGTATGACATAAATGTCACAAAGACATTATGGCATAGGTCATTACCTTTTATCATGAGGGAATCTGTTCTTACTCAAAAAGAAATTATCTTTTATGACTGACCTTAAAATATGTTCATCACTCTTCATAATGAACCTCTTTCCCAAGTGGAATTATTAGCTTTTGCAAAAAGATGGTGTCTGTTAAAATGAAACAAAAGATTTGATAAAACAATTGCCACATTTTAAAATCAGTTCTTTGTTTTTTAGAAACAAATCTATAATAGATTCTTTTAATGCTAGTTTGAAATTTGTATGTGTTATGCTCAGTAAATTTTTAGGATATCTGAATTATATGAAAGTAAATATTTGAGAATGTTCCATAGCAACTGTTTTCCAGCTTAAAGCAACATTGAAATTAACACTTGAAAAATTAAAACAGATTTTCTTGAAAGCTTATGTTTCTTTGAGAAAATATTGCTTTTTGGCAAATCTTTGAATGTTTAATTACTGGTTAATAACATTTCTTGTGGGTAATTTTTAAAGTGATTTTGTGTAAAGAATAATTTAAAGTTGCATAAATATTTGATATTTTTCAAATAATATTAAAAATGAAAGTTTTTGGTTGAGTCACTCTTCTGTATGGAATTTCTTTTCCTTTGTAGCGATATGCGAGAAAAGCATTGGCTCAGAAGCTTTTCCGCCAGTTGGTGGAAGACTACAGAGCAACCATTATCCAGACCAAGGTGCGGGCTTATTTGGCTCGCAGAAAATTTGAGAAGGTGCGTCATGGCATAGTACTGCTGCAGGCCCATGTACGACGCCGAGCTGCCAAGAAAGTCTTCAAAGAACTTAAGGTGAAGTTTATAATAATAATAATAAAAACTGATCCTGTTGTAGATTTTAATGACTATCATCCCCCTCACCACATATTATTTTAAGAATTAACACTTGGGAATCTACTGGAAAAAAAAACAAATAAATGATAGAACCTGACTAACATGTGGATGTTCTACAAAGTGCTAAATGATTTACTTACTCTGTTTTTTTTTTCTTTTTACTGAGTGGAAGCATTGTTTACCTGAGTATCTCTGTTTTAATTTTTGGCCAGTCTGTATGGAAGCAGTTCTTTGTTTAGTTTAGAGTTCCCTTAGAATCAATGGCATTGTTATAATACATACTATTTTCATTGGATTCAATTTTGTCAATTAGTGCAGTCATGACACTTCTTTTCATGTATTTTCTTATATGCACACATGCACATTTGAGAAAAAAGTAATGCCTTCATGCCTTCTCACTTTCATTAGCCATCTCGGAGGTACCTTTTTTATCTGTCGAAGAATAGGTGGTTGGGTGAGGAGACAGATTTATTCTTGTTTCATTAGACTTTATTATCATTTTGTTCTACATAAAGGAATTGTCAGTGAAAAGAAATTGAGCAAGGAAGTAGATAAAATTAAAAAATTTAATCAAACGAGTATACTTATCATTTGAACTTTTCTGTACAGCATTATTGTTTTTATTTTAAACTTTTACACTGAATTAATTCAAATTATTGAATGTATTACCGTATTTATTTTTTAAGATTTCTCAATCAGTTATTTTGATCATTGCTCAGTCAGATGCTGAGAATAACTTTTAAAATCTTCCTGAAATGTCAGAATTTTACAAAAAAAAAAAGATAGAGATTTAAGTTGTTTTTTATTAAATCAATATTTTGGATAGGTCTGTCCTCACTTTTATTTTTTAATTTAAACAGGACTTCAGCTGATTTTTTCTTCCTCAAGTTCAGTTAGTGGGGGTCGTGTTTGGTATGGAAAGATTCTGTCAAAAAAGCCACAGGTGATCTGAAATGTTGGTTTTAGGCAGGATGGGTATAATAAATAAAAATGAACTCTGAAAAATTGATTAATGGCAATGCATCTTGGTTTCAGACATGAAGTTTCTGAATTGGATTTGTTTTATGAATGTGAATACTTTGTAAAGTTTTACCACCAATTGACAGTTGTTTTTTATTATTGCAGAGGAAAGCCAAAGACACTGATGAGCTGAAACTCTCCAACAGGAGATTGTGTAACAAGATCATTGAACTATCAAACCTTCTGAAAGAGAAGGTAAGACCACTAATGATTTGTCAACATTTTAATTTGAAAAGATAAATTTCATAAGAAATAAAATATTTTGTTTCAATTTTTCTAAATTGACATTTTTAGAGCATTTTCTTGTTGATATTCAATACTTACTGAATATTAAATGAAACAAATAATGTTCATCATTTGAATAATTAGGATTTCTTGATCACTTGAAGAATGAGGAAAATATAAGACATAAAAATGTTATGTATATGCAAAGAAAAGTATATATATATATATATATATATATATATACAGATTGCATTTTATAGGCGTTCATTTATAATCTAAGGTTCCACTATCTGATTCAATAAGAAATTTTCCTCTCTTGACTACAATTTTCTGTTGAGATATGATGATTATAAAGAAAGAATTCTAACTTTTAAATGATTAAAATTAGAAATATCCAAGGAAGACTGCCTATTGTTTTTTATTTAATATTAATGTATTGACAATCTGATTTTATTTAGTATGAGATATTCCATTCTGATAGTAGCACAAATCTTGTTTGCTTTGAGTAGCATCATTAATGCCCTGTCACCTTAACAATGGAATATCTTAATTACTTAGACAAGGATGTGTAACAATATAAAATGCACATACCTAATTTCATATATATATATTTCAATAATCACCATATTTGTACAAGAACGCACAACTGTAAAATTTAAAATCAAACTCAGCGTTGCTACTGCACGCTCCAAAAACAATAACTCATTTCTAATAGCATTTTTCGGATACAACAATACATATATTTTTGTTGTCCTCTTATTACTGAGAGAAAAAACAAGAACAACATCTATTCCATACCTGAAGATGTCTGTAGGAACAGACGAAAGCTTTTTTAAAATAAGAACTAATGCAACAGAAATTTATAAAAACAAGGATCTTTTTCATTCATAACAGGTTCGGGGTTTTTGTATATTATTTGAATTGTTTGCGACGATGGATTTCTCGCCAATTAAATCATTAACCTTTGTATTTGTTTTTGTATGAATAATTCATGAATTTATAAATATATATATATATATATATATATATATATATATATATATATATATATATATATATATAAAGCTTTGACAGTTCAGAGACCTGCAAAACGTTTGACGAGGGCAAATGTCATGGCGGGGAACACAAAAATGGCAGTGCGCGACCATGACCAGACTGAGAGCGAGGCCCGTATTTATTTGCATAAGCGTATGCCTTGCTGGCATAAAAGCTGATAGTTTGCGAGGGTAAGGCAGTTTTTGTCCACACATGCGAAAGTCACACGTGTTGTTCATATTGGTGTCAACTGCAATGTAAGACTGAGCAGAAGGAGAAGACAAAGGTTACAAGCTATTTCGGCATTATGACTGATGGAAAGTTCGATCTAAAGCTCGTGCCAGAATACAACGGAATGAGGTTGATTGTTGATTGGCTAGAGAGAGTAGACCTGATTTGCAAACTTTCGGGAGTTGACCGGGTTGAGTGAGTAATCCCCTTGTGATTGACCGGAGGGGCCTTCGATGTCTACCAGCAACTTTTGGATGTGGACAAGACCGATGTGACTCGGTGAAATCTGCACTTCGAAGGGCCTTTGCGCTTGACCCGTGTGAAGTGTACAAGCAGTTTTTGAGGTGCACTTTGTGCCCGGGTGAATTGGTAGATGAGTTCTATGCAGTATTGAAGAAACTCTCCAGCCTGTTCAGAGGAATGCCCAACCGAGCACTAAAGTATGTGTTCATGGCTGGACTGCCTGCCCACACCCAGGAGTTGTTGCGGGCGTCTGCCAATATTGACTACATTCCCACGGAGAGCATGCTCGGCTGGGCAAGAGTCGTCGTGAACAGCAAAAGGATTGCTGCCGCCATCGACTGAACAGCTACAGAAAAAGTGCCTCTATCCAAGCCCACCGAGAGCTCGCTGCATTGCTTTAATTGTTCCGGGCCTAACCATCTGACCAAGCATTGCCAGTTTGAACGACCGATGTTACAGGTGCCAGAAGGAGGGCCACGTTGCATCAAAATGTTCGGAAAAACGGAGACATCAGCGTGATGTGAGCACCACTCTCGCCCTGAGTAATGTGAGAACTAACCTGCCAGTGATGCGTGTGAGCACCACTCTTGTTCTGAGTAATGTGAGAACTAACCTGCCAGTGATGCGCGTGTGCATCAACGGAGTGATGCATAACGCATTGGTTGATTCAGGATGCACACGGTCTCTTGTGAAGAGTTCGGTTTGTGGTCCACCGAATGGACATAGGACGGATGTACTGACTGTTGATGGAAAGAGCATGACCAGCAGGGGAGTGACCAGTGTCAATCTACAGGTGAATAAGAGGATTCCTGTAGTGGTCGAAATGCTGGCCATGGAGGGAGATCTATTGGGGTATGATCTTCTGCTTGGACTTGACATTATACACCTGTTGGGCGGTGTTCATATAAATGAGCACGGTGAGGCCAGTTTCCAAACGAAGTGTCCAGTGGTGTAGGAAGTGGTCCGATGTGTCGGTGTTGGACTTAAGAAAAGCCTACCTTCAGGTGCATGTGCACCGTTCTCTATGGCCGTTCCAAACTGTAATGGTTAAAGGGCGAAGCTACTGCTTAACTCGGATGGGATTTGGGTTGAACGTAGCCCCCTCCATTATGCAGTCGATTGTGAAGGCTGTTCTATCCAGAGATGTGACTGTTCAACAGGTGACGTCAGCATACATAGATGATGTGTACATCAACAACAGCGTGGCGCCTGCAGAGCGGGTAAGACAGCATTTTTCCTGGTTTGGGCTAGAAAGCAAGGATCCAGAGTGACAGTGCTCGGGTGCTTGGATTAGAAGTCTGGTGGGGAGCGTGGCACTTTGCGGTGGAAGTGTGGGAGTGCGATTCCGGATATCCTAGAAGTTGTAACACATTGTACCATTTTCTCTCTATGTGGGAACCTGATTGGGCATCTGCCAGTGTGTGGGTGGCTCCAAGCAGCAACGGGAGTTATAAAGTGAAGGGCCAACGCCATGAACCGAGGATGGGATGATACCACAGAGGATGTCCCACTGTGACAAATGATCCAAGAAACAATAACCAGGGTGAAGCAGTGTGATCCTTCACAGGGCCTATGGTGTGCGAATGGACAAGACGTCAATGTATGGGTAGACGCAAGTTCCCTTGCGACCGGTGTACTCCTGGAATGTGAGGATGTTGTGTTCGAAGATGCGTGTTGGCTGCGAACTGCAAACGACGCTCAGCACATTAACTTGGCTGAACTTGATGTAGTACTGAAAGGCATCAATCTGGCGTTGCAATGGCAGTGCAAAGTCATGCATTTAAAGATAGACTCAGTGTGCGCTCATCACTGGCTAGTGGATACACTCACCAGAAAGACCCGAGTACGTACGAAGGCCACTAGTGAGATGTTGCTCCGACGACGATTGGAAACAAAGTTGCTGGTAGAAGAATATCGGTTGTCCATAGATGTTACTCTGATCCCATCAAGCCAGAACTTAGCGGACCCCATGATCCGGGTATTGTAAAGGTGGCTCGAGAGGATGAAATCCGCGACTGAGCCCGTAATTCTGGTTTGTGCTGTGAGGAGTGATGAGGTGACAAGTGGTCAGATTATGGAAATACATAAAGGTAGTGGATACCCAGGCATCTGACATACTGTGTATTTCGCCTGGAGGGTTTGCCCAGCAATTACCAAAGCAGATGTGAGGTCGGCTATCAGGGCATGTGAAGAGTGTCAGACAATCGATCCGGCCCCGGTTCATTGGACAAAAGGGGGATTATCAGTAAAAGCTAATTGGCAAAGACTGGGGATGGATATAACCCATTACAATGGCAAACATTTCCTGACGATCACTGATTGCAGTCCAACACGTTTTACCATCTGGCGGCCGTTGTCGCGGCAGGACTCCAGAAGCATTATTCGACACCTCGAGTCTATATTCTTTGAGCGCGGTCCACCGCAGGAATTGTTGATGGACAACGACACTGCGTTCTCCCACAGTGAGTTCAAGGAGTTTGCAGCCAGCTGGGGAGTGTGCCTGCGATTTCCGTGTGCCTATGTTTCAGCAGTCAACGGTATTGCAGAACGATGCCACCGCAGTGTTAAACGGATTGCAGCCAGGATGGGATGCTCTGTTCCAGAAGTGGTGTATTGGTACAATGTAGCATCCAAAGATGATACATCTCTGTTGGCTGCACCTGCCAATGGGATCTACAGATATGAGGTCAGGATAAGGAATATCGACCCAGTACCAATGTCACTGGCCCGCACAAAACAGATACTGTTTGGGAGACCCTGTGTGGGTCAAAATGCCCCATTATCGATGCACTTCCAGATTCCAAGAAGGAACAGTGACAGAGGTGATCAGCCCGCAATCCGTTGTCAACAGCGTCCCACACCATATAAAGTACATACGACCCCGGACAAATGTCATCCCGTCTGGCAAAGCGGATGATGAGACTTCTGACGACACTGGGTATATCACACTGCCTAGCCAACAAACAGCACAAATAGAAGCAAATGAAACTATCACAGCACAAAATAGAGAAACCACAGAACCACCCTTGTGACGAAGTACACGCCGGAGATTACCAATGCAACCTTGCCCGTGCAGTGATCATCAAGGATCAGGGGGGAGTGTAACAAATGTATAAATGGATGTTTGACGAGGCAAACATCATGGTGGCGAACACAAAAATGGCAGTGCGCATGTGCAACCAGACTGAGAGTGAGGCCTGTGTTCATTTGCATAAGCGTATGCCTCGCTGGCATAAAAGCTGAGAGTTTGTGAGGGTAAGACAGTTTTTGTCCACACGTGCGAAAGTCACACGTGTTGTTCGTATCAGTGTCGACTGCAGTGTAAGACTGAGCAGGAGGAAAAGACAAAGGTTACAGGTATATACTTACTCCATGAACTAAGCAAAATAATAGATAGAAATGACACAGGACTCTACAGGGATGATGATCTCATAAACTTAAGAAACTGTAACAAACAAAACACAGACAAAACTAGAAAAGCAATAATAAAGATTTTCAAAAATAATGGATTCAACATAGATATAAAAACTAACCTAAACGAAGTAGATTTTCTAGATGTTACCTTCAACCTAAGAAAAGACACATATAAACCATACAGAGAAAACCAAATGATAAACTACTCTATATACACACATCTTCCAATCACCTGCCTTCTATAATCAAACAGATACCAAAATCGATTAACTGTAGGCTTTCCGACAATTCCTCCAATGAATCCATATTTAACAAAGCTAAGAAAGACTACAAAACAGCCCTAAAGATAGTGGATTCCCACCAACACTTACATACTCACCACAGAACAAAAAAACGGCCAACAGGATGAGAAATATATTGTTCAACCCACCGTACAGCAAAAACATAAAAAAAAACATAGGAAAAATATTCTTCAAACCTTTACACAAACACTTTCCAGAATCAAGCACCCTACACAAAATATTTAACAAAAACACAGTAACAATCAGCTACAGTTGCACCAAGAACATGGCACAAATAATAAAAAAAGCACAACAGGAAAACTATCAACAAACCACACAAACAAATTAAACCCACTTGTAACTGCAAAATAAAGAACGAATGTCCCTTAAACGGTAATTGCTTACAAAACAATGTAATATACCAAGCCATGATAAAATCACCAGATAATGAAGAAAAAATATACATAGGAGTAACTGAAGGACCCTGGAAACAAATAAATTATGCACACAAAATATCTTTCACAAATAGTAAATACACGAACAGCACAATGCTTTCTAAGTACATCTGGGAAATTAAAAACAAAACACAAATCACACCAAAAATAAGGAAAAGATCATCAGTCACAACAATCAATCCAAAACTTGCAAACTTTGCTTGGAGGAAAAAATAGCTATCATTACCTTCCCAGACCAAAATAAATTATTAAATAAACGATCTGAGCTCATCTTGAAATGCAGACATGAAAACAAATTTTTACTACGTTACTTAAAAATTGAAAAACTGAGAAAGAAAAAATAAAAGAAAAAAAAATAAACAAAATAACAATAAAATAAGTAAAATAAATTAACCTAAACAAATTACCAAATCACATCTGTTAGAATAGACAAAATAGAATAAATAAATAAAAAATAAAAAACAAAATCAATGAACCCATATAAATAAAGTAAATGATAAACAAATTAACAAACCAATATAGCCAAAATATTAGACTGTAAAAATCAAACCAAAAATCAGATGAAGAACATAGCTGTAACTGTTATATAACAATAAAAAAAAATACTACGTTACTTAAAAGATTAAAAACCAAAAAGAGTAAATAAAAATATACAGTATAATAAATAAATAAATAATAAAAAACAAGTAAATTAAATTTATCTAAATAAACTAACAAGCTGTTCCCGATAAATTAACCGTTAGAAAAAATAAGTAAAGATAATCAAACCAAATAAATGAAGTAATAAACAAGTTAAAAACTTCTCCCACCAAAATAATAGTTAGAATAAACTACAGCAATCAACCCCAAAATTGAATAAATAGCTTTATCTTCCCAAACCAAACCAAAACAAAACTATTAAATAAGCGATATAAACAAATTTTTACTACGTTTATAAAACACTGATTAAAATAAAAATAAATAAATATATAAGATATAAAAATAAATAAAAACAAGCAAAATAAATTAACCCAAATAATAAATAAACAAATAAACGACTTCCGGCAAAATAACTGCCAAAATAGACTACCCACAATGCACCACTGACCCGTATATATAAATAGTTGAGAAAAAAAAAACAACACACGTGGCCTGAAGATTACGTCCAGCATGAAACAGCCTGTCACCTCTAAGTGTTGACTTCAATGTTCACTTTTATATTTACACATGCTCTGTCTCTGATATTGAGCACTTTATTCCATAAATATAGCACACCTTAAGACTATATTTCTTCATATATAGCTGGATTGAAAAATTGTAATGGAGAAATTTATTTATAAACTAATTTTCAGATATTATTTTTATTTTTGATTATATAATTTCAGTCTTGTTTCCTAATGATCGAAGAGTGGGAGTCTGTTGTTACAATGCAAAATCAACTAAAATTTAGATGAAAAATTTACTGGCAAAATTAATAATAATAGTTTAAAAAAATATATATTATTACAATTCATTTTTTGTGTACTTAACAATGAATCTGATGCCAAGTAGGTGGAGGTCTTGATGAAGCATTAATCATTGAGATTTGATTTTTGTTTTTTTTTACCAGCCATAAAGATGTTGTTGCTTAATTGGCAGAACAGCTATTACAGTTAATAAGGCTTACTGAGACAAAAAGGATAGGAAATAGTCCCACCAAGAACTGATTCTTTATTTCCAATCTGTTCTACTTACTAATGGTCTTAATAGTTGTGATGAAAAGTTAAGATCAACAAAATACGAATTAAAGATTAATCATTAACATGTCTTTCTATTTTTCATGTTTTTTCTATTGCTTGCTTTACATCTTGAATTAATGGAACACTCACTACAGATTTGCATGAAGACATTACTCTACACACTTATAAAAATGAATTTAGTATATAAATTATTTTATTCTTAGAAGAAATAAAGAAAATATTGGAAATTTATCATTTTTCCCTTTTTAATTTTTAAAGGAAGGGGAACTCAAAAAGTTCCGTGTCATTCAGACAAGCGCCAATCAAATGCAAGAACAATATGAGAAATTGGTATCTGAGCATGATAATTGTCGCATGCTGAAGGTAAAGATCCAAGAATATGAAGTTATGATTGGAAAACTGGAAAGTGACATCAAGCAGAAGACAGAAGAATACACTGTCCTCATGGCTGAGAAAAACAAGATGAAGACTTCATATGCAGAAGTAAGTGGTTAGACATTTTCCATGCTCTTTTTGCCATAAATTTTGGTCTTTACCTTTCCATTCATTTTAACATGGGTTTTCTCTCCTCCTTTGCTCTCATCTCTTTCTCTCTCGCTCTCATCTCATCCTTCCTATTAGTTTGTAACAGCCATTCCTCTCTCACTCTCCACCCTTTTCCTCTTGGGTCTATGCACACCCTTTTCCTCTTGGGTCTATGCACACCCTTTTCCTCTTGGGTCTATGCACACCCTTTTCCTCTTGGGTCTATGCACACCCTTTTCCTCTTGGGTCTATGCACACCCCTTTCCTCTTGGGTCTATGCACACCCCTTTCCTCTTGGGTCGATGCACACCCCTTTCCTCTTGGGTCGATGCACACCCCTTTCCTCTTGGGTCGATGCACACCCCTTTCCTCTTGGGTCGATGCACACCCCTTTCCTCTTGCCACGTTGAATGCCCCTTTCCTCGCCGGATACCCCTTTTCTTTAGGCTATCCCTCTCCTGTTGTAGTAAATATTTTTCCCCCTCAAAGCTATTCATGGGATGTTCTGGCATTGCCACCCCCCACTTTTTTCTGGTGTTGTCATCCCCTTCTCAAGAATATGAATTTCCTCCATTACAATGACCTATTTTTATATTAATTCAGACCTTTCTAGCCTTATTAAATTTGTACTGATTTAATATCATTTATCCTGAATATTTTTAAGAGAAATATTTTGTCTTTTCTAATGAGAAATAAATCTGCAACTAGCTTCAGCTGAAAGCTTGAATTACTTAAATGCTTTAGTAAAGCACAGTGCAATGAATGATTTTTCTCCTCAAACCTATTCATAGGATTAAAATGCATTTCTATTGTGCACCTCTTTATTGGAAAAACAACTTTCACCAGAAGAGAAGAACTATGAATTGGATCCTGTTTAATTCTTTATATGAACTTTTTTCAGGATTTGCAGTCGATAGAGACGAAGAACAAAGAATTACATCAAGAACTCCTTAATGCCCAAACACTAATTAAGAACAATGAAGAAACAATTGCTAGTAAGTATTTGCACATGTGTTTTTGTCACTATTGATACTTATATATTGTGATGCTGATAGCTTCTTAATTAGTCCTGGGACCCACAGATTTGATTTGAATGGGTCCCCAGAAATTCTATAGGTCCCAAATTTAGAATTTTTAATAAATTCTAGTGTTAAACTGCAGGGCTCCAGAAAAAACAATTACCATCATTCCAAAAAACAATTTTAATCGTCATTTAAAATGATAGAACAAAATTAAATTCATGCATTTAAAACAAAAACACTATTTACACTTAATCACAGTTTAATTAAAAAACCTTTATTTTTGAGAATTCTGATAGGACAAGATTTTTTTTTTTTTTTTTTTTGAAATTGACAGAACATTTTTATTTTTAATTAAATAAATTTAAGACAAAATCAGTATTCACACTCAATTACAGTTCAATTGAGAAACTATATTTTTTGAGAATTATAACAGAACAAGTTTTCTTGTAATAAATTGGATGTGTTTACTCTTATAAAAAAAGATTGGATTAGGTCAACTTTACCTTTTAAAAAATTTAAGTAATCTCCCTTGAATCAACTTAGTGATACAGGACTAATTAATCAGAGATACTCCCAACTTTCTGTAGGATACAAAATTCAAAGAAAATATTTTTCTATAACACCGAAATAAATTATCAAATAAAATAGGTGAGTATACTGCATGTGAACAAAATATTGCATACATTCAGCTAAAAACAAAATGGAGATGGTTGCACCAAAATAAATGATAAGAGTGCTGATTTTAACACATAAAAAAACATTCTCATCACCTTGGCAGTCTATAAACTGCTACCAAGATCTTTTAGTCTGAAAAATAATTAAATCAAATTGTTGAGAAAATCTATCCTGGGCCATCCAGTGAGTAGTTTTAACAGTACCAGCGCTGCTTTGTCCTGTTGACTATCAAACAGTAACAGTACTAGTCCTGTCTCTTTTCTTATTCCTATGATTTTTTTCATACTGTTAATTTGTGGTGTGTTTATTGTTATGTTTGTTTTTTTTATTATAAAATCAAGTTAAAAAAATCATTAGATGAACATGATACAATGCAAATTTACATAGACATTAACCATCAGATGTATTAATAAACTGGTGAAATGGGTGAGAAAGTTTTCTTTGATGAAACCAGTTAAAGCCATCTAACACACACCTTGTACCCCATTTGGTGCAATTCATTTTTTAAGAAAATACTGAATGTATATTTCACCAACACTTATCACAAAACTAAATTGTTCACTTACAAAAAAAGTGTGGGTTGACTGTCAATTAGCATGAAATGGTGGAGGAAGAAAAAAGGAAAAAACAAAAAAAAAAAACAAACGTAAATTCTCTTGTGGAAATTTTGTATTGGAAAAATATAAACCAAAAACGGAAAGAGATACTTTTGCTGATCAACAGAGAATTCATATCCCTGAGCGATTTGCTGTATGCATCACAATGTATTGTTTTTTATGAAAAAATTGATATGCATCCCTGGGACACAGATACAATTTTTCTGCATCCCTGAAGTATAGTTAACAGTATTTTTGTGTGTGTGTTTTATATATGTATATATATATATATATATATATATATATATATATATATGTATGTATATATATATATAAAGTGAACATTGGAATCAACACTCAGAGGCAACAGGCTATTTCATGTGTGTGTAATGCAACTGGGGTCTATAAGAATATTTACATATTTATAGTAACTTTACTGGTTTCACAGTTCTATGATTTTCAAAAGTTAAACTGAGATGGAGAGATGTGTGGCTATTTCATGATATGTCTTGCATCTCAAAAATTTTTTTTTCTTTAAATTAGTTTGCAATCAAGTCCTGGATCAAGCTTCTTTTTCTCCTGTTAAGTCAGTCTGATTTTAGAAGCATTTTGCTACATCTTTCTAGATTAATGTATTCTGTGATGGAACTAGAATAGCTTTTTGTTTTTTTTTTTTTATTCCAAAAGTGGTTTGGATTGTTGAATTCATTCTTTGTTGCTCCTACAGTGTTTTGGCTGATCCATTCTACAGCCTTCTTTAGGTTTGCATATTCCCAAAAATAGTCACTATGAAGAAAGAGTTCAGTACTCCAAACATTTTTTGCTAAGCATCAAACATGGACCAACTCATATGTCAGTAGTTAGAGCATTGTTGTGGTAAGTGAGTTTCAACACAAAATTTATTAAAAATGGCAGAGAAAAAGAATTAAGAGGTTTACTGATGTCAGCAGCTTTTGCTGTTATGTAGTGTCTTTCTGGTAATAATTGCAGAATGATCTGGACCTATCCTTTTTAGAGGGAAAGTAATAAAATCAATTTGAAAAATGAACATTAGGAAGAAAACTATGAATTTACATAGTGAAGACTTGAAATGTCTAATGAGAATTTGAATTTAATAAGCAAAATTTTGTAACAAAAATGTTGTAGAAAAGAAAAAAAAACTGTAAACTTATAGTAGCAATAAACACCTACAAAAGATTTCTTCTGTTTCGTCCACAACACTTGTAGCCAAATCACAGTTCAAACGAAACATAGAAATGACAAAATGGGGTCACAAATCCAACCTTCACTTCTCACCAGCAGAAATGCATATTTGTCCACCAAGCTCAGAAAAAATCCTACTCTTGTAAGCAAAAAACAATGGCTTTTATTTACCGAACAATTTTTCTGATTAGCCACACCATTCAGGAGAGGAAAGAACATTAGCATAGATTCTGATACTTAAAGTAGCTGATTTTTGTTATTTTTGGCAATCTTTCTTTAGCAGATTGATCACTCTTTCTATTCTGTCCTGATGTGTTTAGTGTTACTTCTTTGTATTTACTGAAGTCTTGTTACAGTAGATTTAATATTTGTTTACCTTTGTGACCGTGTTTTGTTCTCTATTGTTATATTTTGTTATATCATTTTTTGGAACTTTTTTGTGTTTTTGTGCTGCAGTGAGGTGTCGACCAAAATGGCCGAGTCTCCTCAGGCAATTGTTACTCAGAGACATCATCTCCAAGTCATGGAATGAAAATAGGCCAAAAAAAGATGTGGCCTATTATGAACAAATGAAGGAAGAGTACCGCAAGTACATTAAGGATAATGAATTACCATCCCAGAAGCTTTGAATGTGGTTACAGCAAAATAATTTCCCTTCTAACATCCAATATAAAAGCCCAAAATTAATTGGCGTCAATAGGGAAGCTGTTGAAGAGGCACTTAAATGTCTAAAAATAGTCCCGAAGATTCTAGCGAAATTCTTGAATGCGATATGGGATATATTGCTAGCTTCAGAAAAGGAAGTAAAAGATCTAGCAGGCAGCATTTTGGTGACAGACATTATGGCTACAAACTGAATACATGGGTACCTGTTTGACAAAAGTCACCTTACACAGTGTATCCATTGATATTAACACCATGTAGGAGCTTTTTTTTGTGTCATACAGCCAGGTAGAGGAAGTCTCTCACATACTAAGCAAAGCGGGTATGTCCTCTGGTGATTTTTTTGTCCAAGTAATCCTGGACAGGACAAAATATAATGAAATCTCTGACATTCTCATGTGCAGGGACAAAAAGATTTTTGTTGTAGTAGAGGGAAGAAAGCCTCACTGTTGGTTGTGTGGTACCACTGGTTATATGGCGAAAATGTGTCCCGGCTGAAAACCAATGCCTCAGCCAGCTACATCCAAGGAGGTAGAGGCAAAAGACAAGCCCTGCGAAGTCCCAGACAGTCGCAGAGAATGGAAGGAGGTGGCGAAAAAGGAGTTGAAAGTTACTGCCTCTCCTCCCACGCCTCTTAAGGAGATTTCACAGAAAAAGGAGCACCACAGAAGCATTTGGAGGTAGGTAAGACTCCGCTGCAGCAACAGCAGCAGCCACGACTAAATAAACAGCACAAAGAGCAGCAGCTGCAACTGAGTCAACAGCACTAAGAACAGCAGCAGGAGCAGCAAACAAATCTCGAGATGGAATGCATGCAGCCGCCTTGTGCCTCCTCATTGAAAAGAGTGAGGGATGAGGAAGAGGAGAAGATTACTAAGAAAGAAAAATATCTGGCTGAAGTAGAGTGGAAAAATCGGTTGACAAAAACCAGACCAAATCTGTCCCTAATTCGCTAGCAAGAACTGACGAGCCAGAGGCCAAAGATAAGGTAAGGAGCCTTTCTGCTTCCTGTCTAGGGCTCCAACTTCTCCTTCTCTCTTGCCCAACTCATCATCCAACTTATCCCAAAAAAAGAAAAAATCAATCCCCAGGAGGGAGATTTGTATTGTGGACAGGCAGGCCAATGCAAGAGGTGTGTATGTGCAAAGAAAGGCCCTATAGGACTGTTGTTCAAGTATTCCTTTGTCAATGAGAAGTCAATAGAGGACCTAAGAAACTTTCCTCAAGTCCCTAGTGTTATTACACTGATTCATAATGCGGTGGGGGTGGGATTTAAGAGTGTGGGACTATTTGACTAGTGCCAAAGAAGCCTTTCCCCAATATCATGATGGCTCAAATAAGGGCACCTGACTTGAAAAAATGTCACAACTGTGTACTGGGAGGGATCCTGTTTGGCTCCACCCCTCTTTATATAGGGTTCTTAAGTTAACCTTCCCGATGGATGTTGGTGGCATTGTCAGAGACGGTCAAAATATCGGAATGAGAAGCCTTGGGCAATCCATAGGGGTCTTGACCCCATACATTTCCGACCAGTCTGGGTTTAAGGGACCCAGACTGAAATCATGTTTATCAAGCTAGCTAACCTGAATGCAAGGGACTTGAGAGATCAGGGTAAGGCTGCCCGCCTGCTTTGTGATCTCGGATCCTTTGGTGTAGAAGTGGCAGCGATCCAGGAGACACACTTTGTTTGCAACATCTTTCTAGTGTACTGTCTAATGACTTTGTCATCTATTCAACATATTGGAGTCATTGTGGTTTATGTGCCCAATGATCAGGAGGAGTACAATGACTTTTGTTGTTGGTTGGGGCCATTCCTGGTTGATTCTTCGCACTTAG